ATGTGCAATTACTCTTGCAGACATATCGAAGGAGGAAAACAACAAAATGCAAACTATTAAGCATCTAAACAGTCCGCCTCTCACAGCGGTATCAGGAGGTTTTCCACAGGGATTGTGTTTTTAAGGAATAGTCAATGCCAAATCGCCATTTTGTCTGCTAAGACAATACTAATGCAGCTGATCCACTCGCAGGGGACCAGTGACATCACAAAGCAGGTCCGTTCATACAAAGAACATTTTGTGCTTTTTTTCAAGAGGATGTTGCTGTCCTAATCAAACTGTCCTGTCAAACTGGCAGCCCTCCAGCTGTTGCAAAACTACAAGTCCCATCATGCCTCTGCCCTTGGGAGTCATGCTTGTAACTGGCAATCTTGCAATGCCTCATGGGACTGGTAGTTTGGTACAGCTGGAGGGCCGCCATTTTGACACCAGTGACATAGAACATAAGGTATTGGGTAGATACAGTCCTTAGCGGACCTCAAATAGCCTTCAGCAGAATTAGGGTTAATGTCAATGGGCACTGGTTTTCTTGGAACGCACATAAAACGCAGATCAGCAAAATCCCATTGACTTTACCTGAGCATTACACATGGTGATTCAAGTGCCGCTCTTGAACTTTGTGTTGCGCTGCATTTCTTTGGACGCAGCGTGTCCTAGTGAGGTGCGTTTGAACTGCAGGCAAAACAGGTAAAAAGGCCTTGTGCTCGCAAATGCTACGCTTGCCATATGAATGCATGGACTTGCATTCAAATAGCAAATGCAGCATTTGAAAAGAACGCCCTTCAGCACGAACCCTCGTTCTACTTAGCTCAGCATGTGTTGTTAGCATTTCACACACCTGATCTACATTAAACTGTATGTCCAGCCCAGGGGCAGACTGACCATTCGAATACTCGGGCACTGCCTGAGGGCCCGGGGTCAGTAGGGGGCGCCATGAGATGCCCGTAGTACCTTTCATTGGCTTTTTTGGGTGTTGGCGAGGCCACAGGGGCCCCATGATCCCCTATTGCCCCATGAGTTCTTAGTCCGCCCCTGGTCCAGCCAAAATGTTTTTTTTTTGTCTGATTGGAAAAACGATAAGAACCTTTGTCAATGAAAAATTCACCTCCCTGTCCTGGTGAAAATACTTTAACCACTTGCCCTCCAGAGGATTCACCACCCTTCCTAACCAGGTCCATTTTTTGCAATACGGCGCTGCATTACTTAACTGACAATTGTGTGGTCATGCAATGCTGTACATAAATAAAGTTTATGTCCTTTTTTCCCCACACATAACGCTTTCTTTTAGTGGTATTGGATCACCTCTGCGTTTTTTATTTTTTGCACTATAAACAGAAAAGGACCAACAATTTTGAAAAAAATATATATTTTTTACTTTTTACTATAAAACATGTCCAAGAAAAATATTTTAAAAATCGAATTTGTCGCAGATTTAGGCCAAAATGTATTCTGCTACATGTCTTTGCTGAAAGAAATCCCAAGACGTGTAAATTAACTGGTTTATGTGAAAGTCATAGCATCTATAAATGGCGGTATATATACTGGAATTTTATTTTTTACACTAGTAATGGCGGCGATCAGCGACTTATAGCGGGACTGCGAGTCTTCAGCGGGCATTCTGACACTGGGTGGGAACTGACTAACTGCTACAAACATCCCCAGTGACACTAAGGGAGGGGTCAAATTTTAGATGATCAAAGGGTTAACTGTGTGGTGTGTGCTGTTTTACTAGGGAGGCATGCTGTTTTGTATTTCTCTACTGTGCAGAGAAATACACAGCAGCATGTCCTTGCTTGCAGGAGACAGACCTGTGTTGTTTACACACAGGTCTCCCCCCTGTCAGATTTGCATGGTGATCACTGTGTGGGGGGAATCTCTGGCCAGGACCCGGTGATTGACATAGCCAACAATGGCGGCGCGGGTAGAGTGGCGTCCCCCCTACCCAGAAATGTAAATCATGTATATATACACGTGATTTTGCACAGCCCTGCTGCCCTGTAGCAGTACTTCTACTATAGGGTGGGGGGAAGTAGTTTTAACTAAACTCTTTGGGCTTATTCACACCGCATACATGCAGGTCCAAAGCAATGACAGGCAAAAATCAATTCATTCTAATAGGCCCAGTTCACAATAACATGCTGCATTGGTGTATGCTGCGTGCTGCATTTTAAATGAGCTGCAACACATTACCAGACATTGTAGTGCAATGCAACAAACATTAAAGCAGGACTTCACATAAAAGCATAAAAACATAATTTTTTTTATTTTGGGGAGCTGGTACCTAGTTTTAACAGGTAATTGTTCCCCACTTCTGCTGTAATCACCAGGTGATTCCACCGGAAGTTTGCCTCCCTCCCTGTCCGCAACCTTCTGGGACATGTCACAGGCCCCAGGAGGCTGCGGGACCATTCACACTGCGCAGCGCAGCTCGCACTTGCGCAATAGGAAGCTGGTTATGAAGCTTCACAGCTGGCTTCCCACACTTAGCATGGCGGCACCAGGGACCCGAAGACCGATGAAGAACTGGCCCAGATGAGTACAGTGTTGGATCCTTAGACAGGTAAGTATCTTGTTATTAAAGGAGACTGGAGAACCGCATTAAGGAAGAAAAACATAAGCATTTTGGTTCCTACAGTGAAAAAAAAAAGGGAAAAGGTATACAACCTGTTAAGACAAAAACAGACATCAATGCATAAATGCAATGCAAGTGGTGTGAAACCAGCCTCAACAAGGAAAAATCCCCACCAGAGCAACACAGAGTATGGGAAGGCTAGAACCAACCATCAGCTTTTTATTGCTGTCTGCGCCCCTGTTGCAGACATTCCCTCGCTCTCTGTCTGGTGAAGCCATTGGTACTGGGACATTGAGGGGAACTATCCCCAACAGGGACTTGGATAGCTGTAAAATTATGACAGGAGTTTCAATCCTCTACTTCAGCCAAAATTGGTTGGACATACATTTTAATGAATTGAACACAAAATAAAAACAATATCTAAATTGAAACCTAGCAGACAACTGTGGGCAACACAGATATTGCCATTGCAGGCCCTCTATTATGTGAGGCACTTTGGGTCAGGTACAAAATGGCTGCCTCAGGAAATGAACACTGTTTCATTGAGGGTTTACTCATAGTAGGCGATCTGTATCATGCCCGTGCACAATTGCCCCCTGAAGTCCAGTTCGTTTGGTTAGTGTGATCGCTCCGTATTGTACTTGGGCATGGTTTAATGTACTGTGCCCTAGCCTGCTTGAAGAGGTGGGCTTTGGCAAGGCTTGGTTGAACTCAGCAGTCGACACGGTATGCATCTGTGTAAGGAAGAGGTGATGACATAAGTGTGCTGTTGGCCCATGTGAGCCCAAGGCACCAGGTAAGTGGGGACAATCGTGCTCAGGCACGGTACGAGGCAACCCTACCTAGTGTATGTCTTTACAAGACATATGGATCTTGTCACCAAAGAAAATGTTGCAGGGCTTAGCGGAAGAACAAAAGATAGCGATAACTGCACAGAATATCATAATATAATAATATTTTATGTATTACAGGTAATTTTATAGTACAACGATTTACACAGTGTTTTACATATTATACATTTACATCAGTCTGTGCCATCCAGGAGCTTACAATCTAAGGTCCCGATCTCACATGCATACACATAGGGCCAATTTAGACAGGAGCCCAATTAACCTACCAGTAGGCTTCTGGAGTGTGGGAGGATACAGACACAAGCACCGAGAGAACATACAAACTCTGCAAGTAGAGATCAGATTGGGATTCATTGAATACTAACCTCTAAACCACTGTGCTGCCCCCGCAGTAGCATAGAAGAAAGGGGAAGAGTAGAAAGAAGGACTAAAATCAAGAAAAACGACAAGAAGGAGGAGGATAACGGAAACAGCTGGGGCAGAGGAATCATTCAGACACCGGATAAAGTGGAGAGAATAATGATTTCAGATTACTGTGTGTTATTCGGAGTAATTTTAGTAGGCTGGGTCAGCAGAGATGCTGTATACCACAGACCCCAGTGCTGCTGGCCTTCTTTTCTGCAGCAAAAAAAAAAAATCTAATCAGCAGCAGCAGCCAGGCAAATAATAGCACAGGCTTGTTAGTCTGCTCCACATGGCCTCACTGGAGTTCACTTAAAAGACAGGGTATAATCAAGTCTTTACATACATGGTACGCAGGCAGAGACAGAAGACAGCAATATCCCACATCTCCAGGGGAAGTGCGCTGTGCTTCTCTCCCTGGCCATCCTTGTAAGATCTGCAAGACGTGTACCTTTCATCTTGTACATCTGAGACTGAAGCCTAAATGTATCGGGGAGCTTCCTATAAAGCTTGCGCTCGATTGTGCTTCTAGAAAAAGATACAAACGTCACCTCTTCTATTCATCAATCACCAAGGTCAGCAACACTTTAAACACAACAATGAATTTAACTTGTTCCCTGATAAAATGCCATTTATGTTTCACAAGGTCAGTGTTACAGGTTAACCACAAGCCTACAGGGCACTTATACCCCCTTCCTGCCCAGGTCAATTTCCAGTTTTCAGCGCTGTTGCACTTTGAATGACAATTGCGCGGTCATGCAACACTGCACCCATATAAAATTTTTATCATTTTTTTGTGACAGATAGAGATTTCTTTTGGTGGTATTTAACCAACTCTGGATTTTTTATTTTTTCTTAAACAAACCAAAAACCACTGAAAATTTTGAAAAAAAAGATTTTTTTATTAGTTTTTGTTATAAAATTTTGTAAATAAGTGATTTTTCTCCTTCACTGATGTGCGCTAATGAGGCTGTAGTGATGGGCACTGATAGGCTGCACTGATGGGCACTGATGAGGAGGCACTGGTAGGTGGCACTGATGGGCATTGACAGGCATCACTGATGGGCATTGAAAGGCAGCACTGATATATGGCACTGATAGGCGGCACTGATAGGCGGCACTGACTGGCACTGATATGCGCACTGACTGGCGCTGTTAGGTGGCACTGATAGGTGGCACTGATTGCCAGCACTGATAGGTGGCACTGATTGGCATTGATAGGTGGCACTGACTGGCACTGATGGGTGACACTGAAAGGCAGCTCAGATGGGCACTGATATGTGGCATTGATGTGCACTGTTAGGCACTGATATGTGGCATTGATGTGGCACTGATGGGCACTGGAACATCGCACAGATGTGCACTGACAGCTGGCACTGATGGACACTGACAGGTGGCACTGCTGGGGTTACACTGATCATCAGGGCACACTGATCATCAGTGCTCTGATGATCAGTGTACATGTCCCCTCCGCCGATTACCGGCTCTCCTCTCGAGCTGTCAGCGTGACAGCTCGAGAGAAGAGAAATGCCGATGACCAGCATTTCCCTGTTTACATGAGATCAGCTGTGAATTGGACACCGCTGATCACATGACCGAGCCGACATCTTTGGCTCTTTCCATGGATCGGTGATCCGATGTGTCCGAGGGACACAGCGCACCGCTGATTGCTGTGCTGCACGCTCAGGGAGCCGCGCATGCGCGGTTAGAATGGGAGGACGTAATATGAGGTCCTCCCAGAACGAGAGAACAGATTTGCGTCCGTCATATTACTATATGGCGGGTGGGAGGTGGTTAAAGATGTTACAAGTTAATGGGTCAGCAGGTAAGTTTAGAGATCCAAAGGTCCTGAGATCACTGCCACTATCTTGTATGTGACGTCAACAGCCCCAGCAGAGATGACACTCTCTAGCAGCCTTTCAGAATCTTTTACCACAGCGGAACCCTTGAAATAACGTTCATGTCCCATGGAATCCCAGCTAAAAATGTTCCTTACACTGGTGGTCATTGGGAAGAATGCTCCCCTTACAGACAGCTTATAAGATCATTAGTTTTGGTCACCATCATCATCAATTTGGCTCTGCCAAGTGGTGTTGGACCCAGATTTATGCAGACACTATTATTAGATAGGAGGTCAATCAACTACAGCTCAAGGAACCCCTAGCAACTTCTTGAAGAACCCTTGTTGAGAAAGGCAACTCTATAATTTTCCCCCTCAGTGCTCCACTGTCAGCTACATAAAAGCTTATGAATGTAAATGTTAGATACCCCTATGATCCAACAGACAGTATTTAGACACTATTAACAGAATAAATCAGCCAAATGACTAGACAGAGAACAAGTTGCTGTTTACTAAATAGGTACAAAGTCAATAATACAAAACAGGTTCAGGAAAGCAGAAAGCATCCGTACACTGCAGAATAATATTTAAAAAATGTTAAATTCTGCACAAACATGGACTCATCTCAGCAAAGTCTCTGTAGTTCAATCAGGGTAACATGTGGCTGACTAGTAAATTCTCTATAGAGACTGTAACAACAGAGTCAAGCTGAGAACACTAGCTAAATAAAACAGTTCAGAATGCAAACAGCTACATTCGGTTATCCCCATAAACATCATCCCTCTCAGTGAAATCCCTGGTGGCTCTAGTAGCATAGGGAAACATCTGGAGGGATCCAAGGCCTGATGACACAGAGGGTCCACCCACTGCAACTGGAGTATTCTGGCATTGTGTGGCTGACATGGAATGTAACATCAAGGTAACATGTGGCTGACTAGTAGAGTTTCTATAGGACTATATAATGTAGCACTACCCCCTTAGGAGTAGCTGAATTGTTTTCTAGTTCTCTGTAGATCTGGAGCCCACTCTGAAAGCCCAACCCCTGCGGACACCACAGAACACTTCCAACTGAAATAAATCACCACCAGAAAGTGAATGCACACATGAATTGAAGTAAAATAGTAAGAGGTGTATAGCAAACTGCAATATGGCTTGGTAACACAGCATAAACTGAAATGTGTAAAATCAGTTGTTACTTGTGTCAATGTGAATTTAAGAAAAAGACAACACTTATCACAGAATTTCAATAGGTATTAGCAGGTCTGTTTTCAGAAACTAACCCAATACCTTAAACCTGAGGTGGTCTTACAGTCCCCAGTGAGCAGCTATGACCATCAAACAGGTAGACTAGCTAAGGACCTGATGGCAAGGAGATAGCCTGAAATAAGGAAAAGAACTCTTTACCCCAAAACAACCAATGTTCTTTAAAGGCAATGAAGAGTCTTCTGTGAGTGTGACGGGGTCCAGTTGGTGCACAGTGAAGAGAAGTGTGGACTGTAACTCTCTGAGGAACAGTGTAATAAAGAGAGAGAAGAATAACACTCCCCCTGCAAGCAGAAATTTTACAGATGTAATGTTCCATTAACCTCTTCACGCCGGCCAAACGCAAATGTGCGGCCTCCCGGGGTCTGGCCCTAGACACCGAGCGGTCGCACATTTGCGTTCTATTAAAAAAGGACATATGTGCCGAGAGCGCGCGCCCTGTGCGCTCCCAGCACACATGTCCGGTACTCACGGAAAGGTCCCGATCTCCTCTTTCGATCGGGACCTTTCCCGATCATGTAACCATCACGGCGGTCACATGACCCTAAACCCCGCCCCACTTCTGAAACTCTTAAAGGGCCGGGAGGCGCTGGCGTGAAGGGGTTAAGGTACTAATCACTAGCAAATTTGAAGCAACAAGTGGCCAATCTGGTAAAAGTGATTGTTGGCACAGGCAACTCTTCTCTGGGCTACAAAACTTTTGGCACCGTAGGGAAAAGGCCTCCTTAGCAGAGTGAATTGATGATGATGGACACACAGCAGTGGTTTGGCCTGTGGGTCAACTGTTCTGCTATCAGTTCTGATGATAAGGCTGTGTTAAGTGTAATCAGACAATAGCAGCTGAAGGAACTAGGCCGCAACTTATAATTACTATGTGCAATGTCCACAACTGTATGCAGGAGAATAGCAAAGGTGGAGCAGGTGTCAGTGTTCCCTGTCCTTGATAATGCTTAGTACTCTCACCCAAGGGATGGCGTCTCGCGAATTCTGGCAGTCTCTTCCTGTCTCCTTTGATAAGGCCTTCACACACTCTCCGGTCACCGCATGCAGCATTCTGCTCGGTCACCTGCTAGCAGATTAGTTTCTCCACGATGCGGCAAGGTCAGCGATCAGCAGACTCTCCCTGCCACCTCTCTTTCTTTTTTTCCACGGCCTGGTCCGGTCCTCTCACAGTCAGTGCACTCCTCTCTCCAGATCTCTCTCCTCTCACTTTATGTCTCATCTCCCGGGCTTTCACATATATACACCTCTGCCCACACGCCAGCTCCTCTAGGAAATGTAGTTCTTTACTACACTGTTCTTTAGCAAAGTCCTGTGGTTCAGCATTCAAGTTCCATGGGGGTGCTCTACAGAATGTGAATGCCACTGTTCTGCAGGACACTGCCATCTTGTTTGTTTTAACATCCTGCATCTACTTGTAGCAGGGTGTTACAATAACAACGGAGAGTCAAGCTGAGAACCAACATTTCAGAAAGCAAACAGCTACATGCAATTATACTCATAAACAGCATCCCTCTCAGTGAAGTCCACGGTGGCTCTGGTAGCATAGTCTGGTAGCATAACAGCTGAAGGGACCAAAGGAATGATGACACAGAGGGGCCACCCACTGCAACTGGAGTACTCTGGTAGCAGCTGCAGAGATGCTCCCCACAGTAGATGGGTCTTCAGGAGAAGCTTTGTGCTATTAGGCTCTTGCCTGATTGCCTATACACCAGCTTTAATAGTTGAAGGCTTCTCACCTAGCTGTAGATCAATTGCCCAGCTACCTCTGCCTCATCAGGTGTGCCTTCGCTAAGGTCACAAGGGAGGAAAACTGAGGAACTTATCTTTCTAGGGAGCTATGGGACAAAGGGCTAGAGGGTTCTACACCTACATCTAAGCATGGTGAGTAAATGGGAACTCACACACTACACACTTCAAGAAGAGGAGAAGGCTATGATGTGTAAGGAGGGACGGTACTGTTGTAGGGAACTTGCTCTTACTGAAGTAGTCAGATTTGCTAGCAAGTTCAGCGGCACAATGTTTGATTTTTCTGTGCAATTTTTGTAACTTTAGTGACAGGGTATTTTTAAAGTGGAAGACACCAGCAGTGGAAGAAGCTTCAGAGCATATGGCAATGGCAGCTGTGCCATTATGTGCAATATGCTGTTTTAAAGTTGACCTAAAGTCTTAGTTGCCTACATATTTTTTTATCTCCTTGATCCATTCCTAAGCAGGTAGCTTAGCTCAAACATGTACTGTATTAAGTGATGTTGGGTATTGGCAGGATTACTTGCAATGGGACTCTGGTTTTTAGGATAGATAGAACTCCTCCTAAAGACAGTTCAGCTTTAAACAGCTAAGCATCCATACTGAGCTCTAGTGTCTCTATAGACCAGCCTAGATAATCCCATCTTTACTACATTCCTTCTGTATCAGCTCTCTTTTTGTCTCCTGTGGGCACAACAACAGAAACAACATGTTTGGCCTTAAACAGATTGTTAGCAGGGAACTCCTTCAATAAACACACTAGTGCAGGTGCTACCCATACCTACATCCTATGGAGGTGGTGTGGGCGACATGGAAGGCAATCCAAAGATAGTTCTGGAGACAATGAGTGGGATTTCTCAGAATCAGAGCAGACAGAATCTGGGAGCAGATGTACATGGCAACCAATCAGCTTCTATGTTCAACCTGTTCAGTTAAGCATTAAAAATGAAAAATAGAAGCTAAATGGTTGCTATGAACAGTTGCTCCAGATTCTGGCTGCTCCAGTTTTGCTAAATTCCCCTCTGTCTCTAAAGAAAATCCGATAGAACACAGGACATACTTTCCTGGTCTTCCCTGAAAAAATAAAAGATATTTATAGCCAAATGGGCATTTCCTTTGTTTATTAATGCGGTAAATAACTGCACACTATAATGTAACACAGAACTCTCTTGTTGGTTGATGACATTTTATGATGACATTTGCATACAGTTCTTTCAGTATGACCTTTTATCAGGAATATACAACAGCCTGCGGATCAGAAGTCTGTAAGACTTCACTATTCTACTGGGTAAACTGATCGGGGTTTCATATCAAGTTGATCTGGGTCTTTCAGGTTTCTTAGGATCATATTTTTTTAAAGAGAAGCCATGGAAATCACTACATAGTGACAATGTTACATGTTTATTCTGTAATTATTAAAGCAGTATTAAACCCAAAAATAAAATTGTACTTTACTGCAGCTTACCAATTCTTAGTTGTGGTTGCTACATTAGTTTTCCATTTTTTTTTAGGATTTTGTATTTTATTTTGACCTGGTGATCCAGCCGGTAAGTCTGTTATTTCCTTTAACTTGCCAAGCTACATAGCTGGTAATGTTAACAAAGCTGTCAAGTCAAAGTAAAAGTTAGAGGGTTGCGACAAACCATTTAACACTGGCAGGGGGTACTTACAATGGTCAGCTTTTATTTCGTTATGTAAAACCTTTATCCAAAAGGAAAAAGAAAGCTGTTGCTGTAACTGCTTAAAAAAATCCATCTAACACTACCCTCTCCCCAGATTGACAATGCTGCTGTCAAAAGGT